GAGCAGCAAGATAAGGCTGCCACTTTCAAAAGCCCAGCCCAGTCTGAGAAGCAGGGAGTACACAAGTGAAGATGCACATGCTCACAAAGCAAATAAGCATTCCAACACTTACATTCAGGCATATACATTCTAAAGAGCTTTAGAGAAAGGAACTTCAGTGTTATGGCACCAAATTGTTATGAAGGACTAAGAAGCCACTTATTCTTTAAGAGTCAAACAGGTAAGACCCCACACCCAAACAGGAATGTCAAGGACACTATTCAGGGAGGTTTGAATCAAAGCATCTAAATCATATAAATGGTCAGCCAGGTAGACATGGTGAGAAACATCATGTCAGCAAAAGCACAGCCAATTTCATTAAGACATCATCAGATCTCATTATTATTTCTCCATTATAAATGGAATTTCTCAACCCTGTTTTAGCCACGCCTCTCAGTGGAGGATTTTGAAGAGAGGAGGAAGTGTGGCCTAGGGAACAGAAAGGGAAGGTTGGAGGCCCAGCTCAGGGTTCTGATACACTAAGATCATGCACCTCCCTGAGCATCAGTTTCCCATCTGTCAAATCCAACAGCCTTACAGAAAGGTTCTCAGGCTTCCATTGCTCTTAGATCTTTGGTCCCAGACACCGCAGCATTGTCCCACATCCCCCACCATTTCCTCTGGCCGAATGTCCCTTGCTCATTGTCCTCTGGAGACTTGCAATGCCATGAACGCCCTACTCTTTCCAACCCATGGTGGCTCCTCCTCTTCCTCCTCCCACTTCTCCTGGCCCCAGCCTGCTGCCAGCCCGCCTCAGTGAGATGCTGTTCTGTATTAGTCTTGCTTGATACGTGGGTCATTTCCTCCACAGCGCTGCCCTGCATCCTCACAGATCTGCTCATGTTCTCAGTCACTCACATCTGCTTGGAGGCCTCTGCTTGCTTGAAGCACCCTGAAGGTGATGGTCCTGGTGCACTTCTGTGGCCACCATGCCCAACACAGTGAGTACCATATAGTTAAACTCAGCTAACTGTTTGGGGGATGCTTAAATGGAAGAAGATGAGCCAAGGAACTGTGGAGGCAACACTGGTTCCTCTCGTCACATCCACTGACTCACCTTACTCCAGAGAAGGCTGATGGTGCACAAAACAGGCAACACCATTGGTCTCTGGTCAACAAGCTGAGCTCTGGCTATAGCAAAACCTGCACTCACTTGTGAAGTTATAGGCCTTGGCAGTCAACTCAGAGGATGACATGGAATAGGAAATGTCATTTTCCTTATGATATCTTTCCTGGCCATGCCAAGCATAAAACTACTAAGGAGGAAATTATCTTCATTTTAGCCATTACATTAAAAGTATGAAAGCTACACCGGATGGCTTTGAAATAACTTAGGCTAGTCAAGGCTCCACACCATTTACATTTACTGGAAGACTACAGAAAGATGCAGTTCATTTGAGATACCTTCTCTTCCATTATCTAGAGGAAAGCTATTTGTATCTTCAAATTAAGAGCACAGTGTCTTTTGGCTCATGACTTCAGAAGCTTTAGGTCCTCAGGCAGAAACAGAATGGTGGAGGAATGTGACAGAGGAAAGTAGTCACCCCACGGCAGTCAGGAAGTGGTCAAGACAGAAGATAGAAATCGAGGACAAGAAGTCATCCAAGTCACAGGTCCTGTGACCAACAAGTTCCCATCCCCCAAGAGCAAAATCAGCTGTGTTCTCAGCAGAGCAACCCCATGGTCCAATCACCTTTCAAAAGCCCTGCCTGCACAATGTGAGACTTCTGGGGAACCCTGTAGGTGTGAACCTTAACACTATGTGCAGGGGCAAATGGGTTTTAATCTAGTGTGAATAACTACCTATTAATAACATTACCCTTAACTACATGGAACAAGGTTCCATGATTATTTGATAATGTGAACCATGCAGACTTAGGTAAGAATCTTCAGAGTGACAGAGAACATCCAACTTCTCCAGATATGAAATACCTCTGGTATACTTTCCCATGGCCATGGAATAATTTATGGAGCTATACAAGCTGTGAGATAAAAGAGGACTTACAAGGCACACCTGGACAATGTGTTTGAAAAATAAGTACAGTGTTTTAGCGCACCAACAGGCTTTATAAATAAAGCTTTATGTGGTATTTTACAGCAGTCTAAACTATATTGTGCAAATATATTGAAAAGTATAAAAACCACATATAACAATAGACATTCGCTTTTCCCTTTATTCTGCATTGATCTTTTTACTCTACCTACCCATCAGTCTATGGGCATGCTCAAAATCATTCATATAGATTGTAACTTTAAAAACAACAGTATTAGCCATCTACAAAGGAGAAATGTCCTTTAATAAAAGCAGTAATTGCCATTCCAGTTACTCATGAGAGCTCCTTAATTTGTTCATTTGGGAACCACTCCTTGCATGATATCAGTGTGAGGGGACACAAGTGTTGCACAGGTGGAGTGGGAGCTTTCTCCAAACAACAACAAACACCTAAAAGAGCAGTACTGATAGTTCAACAACGATAAATGCTCTAACTGGCCTCGGGCGATAGCATTTAGATGAGGTACCAATGTAAAGCAGGTAGCTGTGGCATGCTTTAGAAATCTGAGTATCTTTAAACATTCAGCAGCATGCTTAAAAACATAAATGGCATCATTTTCCTACTCATGGTCCATGCCAAGTGCAAATCAAGCAATCAGCATTTGGGGTACACGAACAGGCTGAGGATTCCCATGCTTCATCTTGCATAGAATCACAATGCTTGTGTGGATCAAGAATAATATTACTTGCTTTGCAAACCTACGGCGAGGGTGGGAGTGACTGAGTCTGCCTTGTGTCTTACATCCTCAAACACACCCGCTGTCCCCATTTCTTCTTGCTTCTTTCCCGCTTGAGAAAGGCAGCTACCCTTTCAGGGGTCTTGGTGCTTCTTTCCTGTCCCTGCTACCCAGAATTTACTGTTCCTACACTTTACTGATTTTTGCTGCAGCCAATTTTTGCATCTTACAAAATGAAACTCTGAACAGGGAAAAGCAAAGCACTAACATATTCTGGAGCTAACAGCCTGGTCAGTAGTGGTGTTACTGGTAATAAAAATTATTGCAATTATTATGTTATATGATACACTGATCCTACCTTGGGTTGTCTACAATACCTTCTACTTGTTAGAAGGAACGTGTTATTACAACATACAATGGATGTAAGAATCAGAGTTAAGAAAGAAAAGAACAGGGGTGGTGAGATGGCTCAGTGGTCTAAAGCACCTATTAAGAACAAGCTTGGCAAAGCACAGGGACCGCAGTTCAATCCCCCAGCACCACATGCCAGCTGGCCCCGCCCCCTGGTGGGCTGAACTGGCCACACACATGCAAAATAAATAAATAAACAAGTAAAAATTAAAAAAAAAAAAAGAAAAGAAAAGAACAGATGACTGACTGTGAGTTCACGTGACTACCCCAGGTCTCCACAGAGAAGCTCTGTGGTGGTTCACAAAACGGTAACTTAAAAATACTCCACGTGCCAGCCCTGTCCTCAAGGCATGCTGAGATGGTGACTGAGACTGGGCATGGTGACACATTCCTGTAATCCCAAGGCTTGGGAGGCTGAAAACAGGAGGATCACTACAAGTTTGATCTGTGTAGTGAGGCCCTGTAGACCCTGTACTAAATACATGTAAGAAAAATATTGTAAAGTGAGAGCTACAGTTGAAAACCAGGCATGCTTAATTCACTAATTAGAATACTATTTTAATTCTGTCTTTATGATTTGTGATCTAGCTCAACTGAAACAAGAAACGATTGGTTGACCAAAGCAATTTAAATATGCCTAAAAATAAATAAATATGTCTAAAACTCTCAATGAGGCTTATTTTCATACTCTAGTTATTGGTATCAGTCCAAGTTTGATCATTAACAATGAGAAATATGTTATGAGCATGTTTATATTTATTACTTTCCCAAAAGGAAGGATCAAAATTCTATGATTGTTTAGCAAAGGTACAAAATCGAGATCGTTCGAATTAACTAAAATATGCAGTAAGAAAATCAGGAAAAATTCTGTTGCCAGATTTTTCTCAGATAGCTGATCACTGAGCAGCCCACTCTGGCCTCTGCATGTATTTTTCACTAGACTAAAAGCACAACTGTTATCTTTTGCCTTTTTTTCCTCCCAGTTCACTTTTCCTGATCACATATAGAAGAGACTTTCAACCACAACTGGCCTTTTCCTTTTTATCCTGTTCCATATACATGCCACACAACCAGATATGAAGTCAGTTCTGCTCTATAGAAACATTACTACTAGCAGGAGGAGGAGGAGGAGGAAGAGGAAGAGGAAGAGGAGGAGGAGGAAAAGGAGGAGGAGGAAGAGGAGGAGGAGGAAGAAGGAGGAGGAGGAGGAGGAAGAAGAGGAAAAGGAGGAAGAGGAGGAGAAGGAATAAAACTCAGGACCTTGAGCTTGCCAGGCAGGAGACCATGTCATGGAGCTATGTCCCCAGCCCTAAAGAATTATTGTTAGTGAGAGAAGGCCTAGATATAAAGATTTTGCCACATTCCTTGGTTAGCACAAGGGGATTCTACCTGCATTTGGTGGTACACACCTGTAATTTCAGCACTCTGGGAATCTGAGACAGGAGGATTGAAAGTTGCAGCTCAGGCTTGGCCAAGGCAACATATCAATTTAGTGAGACCCTGTCTCAAAATACAAAAAAGATGTAGCTAGGTGTGAAGGTCTTGGATCAATTCCTAGTACTAAGAGGAAAGAACGGTGGATTTCGTCACAGCAGAATAACTAACTGTATTTCTGTACACAAGGCAATAACTGATGGGCCCAGCAAGTGTCTCTGTAGTTCACTGTCAGGCTATCTGGCCTGCATCTTGGTCTAGGCACAAGGCACACAACTTAACCTTCTTTAGGTCATCTGGTAGCCCCAGTGAAAGCATCACCCTCAATGGACCAGGCTGCCGACATCTTATTAGAAAAACACCTCATGGATTCACGAAATACATACCTGATTGCACTTGCAGATAAGTGACCATAGGATCCACTCGCTGAAGAGCTGCTACGAGAATTATTGAGAATTGTGACCAAGGAGTTGGGAGAAGTCCTTATCATGGTCTGAAGGTCAAAGCTATGATCCGACAGCGGTGATATGGACAGTGTACGTTTCCGGCTTGGCCTGGCTGACAGCCTAGGGCTGGGGAATCTGGTGCCTGTTACAGAGACAAAACAGAACCTGATTACCCACAACCAGACTCCATACCTGTCACTGACTGCCACTCACCCTTGCAAAAGTAGGGGATATGAAGCCAGCAACTCACAATGACAAGAGCCTTTCCTCCCCCAGGGATCTACGGGCTACAATTGAGGAAATTAGGGAGAAATATTTATCTTCCGGGGGCTTACCTCAGGGAAGCTGTGTTTATTAATGCACAGGCAAAATGATAAATTGCTAAACAAAAGGGAGAGACTTTTATGTGTTATCCCTCTCATTTCTAGTGATTTATGAAACTGACGGCTGCTTAGATATTCCCATCATTAATTCACCACAAGCGACAAAGACAGTGGCTCCCAAGTGGCAACACACCCAGCACCCTCCCCACTCCACACACACCATTGTAAGGCAATGAGCCAAAGGAGAAAGTGAATTAAAGCATCCTAAAATAAAAGATCCAGCTTAGAGATGCCCTCCCCCACCCATGTGTTCTGCAGTTAGCTGCACCCTGGAGGACTGAAAGCATCCCTATAACAACTTATAAATACATTACCCTAAATCAGTGGTTCTCAACTGGGGGTGACTTTAAACCCTGGAGGATCTCTGACAACATCTGGAGACATTTGATTTGTCATCATGAAGGGCGTGCTGCTGGCATCTAGTGGGTGGAAGCCAGGGGTTCTGCTAACTGCACTGTGGGGCACAGGGCAGCCTCATCATAAAGATTGTCCGGTTCATCAGTGACAAGACTGAGGGAAACAGTTCAAAATTCCACATGACTTGCCAGTCCTACAGATAACCCACTACTATTATGGACTACTGGATTATATTGGATTTTTGTGCTGAATTCATGCACCTACCATATTTAAGTGGCAATGAGAAGAAAGACTTGAACTAATAGTATTTGGACAAGATATCATGTCTGCATCTTGTACTATGAATAACCACTAGGAAGACAACAATATGCAATATATTAATTATCGAAAGTATCCTACTAATTGGTTTTGAGCTATTTCATTACTATTTGTTTCTCAATAAAATTAATTTCAAAAATTCCCCATGATCCAAGAGGATAAATCCCAGTAAATACTTCCAATAGTGGGATGTTGTTTGTTTATAGATTTTGTAAATTGGGGCCCAGAAGCACAAAAGATGTCTATAAAGCACAAATTCCTCTCTGGATTCTGTTTCTCTAATCAGAAACAACAGAGATAATACACTTACTAAGATTCTCAGCGTGAAGAAGATTCCACCAGAGGAATCCTAACCTGGAGGTGGGTAACTCCTCAGACACATGCCAACTTAATACAGTATTTTTCTCCCATGGAGTTAAAAACTAAATGCCCATTTGCATTCAGATTTGGTAGGTATCAAGATCACAATCTCAGGGTATAGGACTGAATGTGACCCACAGGCCCACTCCAGCCTTTCTGAAGGTTGCATTTACATTACAGGATCATCAAATCAAAGTTTAATGAATATATGAAAACATAATCCACCAGGGAAGTGGCACGACCAAACAGAAGCAGCTGTAAACGTAAACTAAGGGGTTCTTATTTTACAGCATGGGTATACCTGCTCATAGGGATGGGGCACTTTTGGGGTACCAGAAAACATAAGTGGAATTAAACCTTCTTCATAGAAAAAGTCTAGGCGTTTGGTCTCCAGAAAATCTAACAAGAAAATTTTCTTGAACAGAGATGGCTCTTGACATCAGATACGTGTCAAGATGATTTAACAAACAGGATGAGTATAAAAGCCTCTTTTATAGTTAATACAGTAACCACAGACTGAAACTTACATCCATGTATAAAATGGGAAAACCAACTTAAATGGCAGATGTTGTACCTACTCTAATTTTTCTTTTAGGTCCCTTTTTTTGGTTAGTTTTAGAGACTGAATCAGAGCTTTCACACTGCACTATACTCCTAGTCCTGTTTTATTTTGATACAGGATTTTGGGAGGGCATTAAGTTTCTCAGGGTAGACCCAAATTTGTTATTCATCCGCCAGAGTATTGGGATCAGACACCTTTAAAATAAGTTCCTTCATTTAGAATACTTCACTGCCAGTCTGCTTTAAGGCATGTTCATATAAAATGCTAATCCCAACTACATACACATGTTAGTATGTGAATCAGCTGCTTACCTATATGATGGCATTTGCCTTAAACATAGTATTCCCCATTTACTCACTACATAAAGCTAATTTCATCATAAGTTTTAATGAAGGAACAAATGCCATTTCCAAACAATTCCAAAGACAAAGCAGACTCGTTGTCAAACACCATGTAATCTTTGACAACAGACCATCACATTGGGATTTAGAATGAGAATCAGCAAGACATGCTGGACAGAGAGCTCATCCCTGAGCACTAGTAACAATTGAGGAGACAAGAGAGCCACCTGAGCCAGTGAAACGCTAGAGCCCTTTGTTTGTCACGCATCATCTGAAAACCAGAGTCAGGGCCCAGTCAAGACCTTTACCATCTTTTCATGAATCCTTAGGGTCATGTACAACCTGACTGGAACATTTGCTGTTTTCCCTCCAAGAGTGGCTCTTATCGAAATTAGATTTTTGCCAGTATAAATAGTGTGAATTTCAGGCACTCCTTACTTTAAGAGATGGCATACTCATGTATCCTTTAATGTCACTCTAACCCCAAGAGATGTAATTACAGCCAAAGACAGACTTGTTCACTCTAACTTGCAACATGAAAATACTCTACATCCACCTCACTGAAACCCAAGTGTTTCCACTGTTGGCACATCTGCAAGTCAGGTGTGCACAGTGGTATCAACTGGAGAAAGAGACCCAGGGACCCATAACGAGGGACTGGAGTGAGCAGCGGGGTCCCAGTTTGCGTCTGCCACTACAGGTGCCAATGTAGGGACTTAAGACAAAGATTTCCATTCTCTGTTGGATGTAAGTTCTTTGTGTAGGTACTCCGTATTCTAGTGGTGGAGGACTGACAGCATGGGTGCAGCTGTTTGTATCACTGACTTATTTATCTAAAAGGTTCATTATCGTCTTATGCTCTGTCTAATGCTATTTCAGGTATTTTAGGAACACAGAACCCAAACGACGTCCACACCTTTCCCAATCCCTTGTAATCAAGTGAAAGAAAAGAACATCAGTGGAATATTTGGGTCACTGGTTTGGGATTTTTGATGAAGAGAATTCTAGGAACAAAAGGTGAGCATTTTCAAGGCAGCTGAAAGAGAAGCAGACTGATGTGGCAACTTCCTTCTGAAACAGAAGCCAGAGAGTTCATACTGTTCAAACACAGGGAATTCCGTACTGGGTTTCTGTTAATTGTTTTGTTTCTCTAGCCTAATAAAAAATTCTGACAAAGAAAAAGGAGGTTTCTTTCTTTGTGATGAATGATAGGACATCTAAATTCCTACTTAATGACAATCAATTTACCATATACTGGGGCAAATTAAAATTCCTTTAATTAGTTTTTACAAAGTAAAAGGGTAGCTTCATCCTTTATTTAGATAAAAACCGCCACTGCCTGACTAAACACATTCTCATCAAATAGAGAAAGTAATGTCGTGGGCTGACCTTCCAAGAAGTCTCTCTTATTTTAATTCTTTATTTGCAGATTTTAAATAACTGATTTGCATAATAATGCTGAACTTTTTTCTCCCCAACAATCACTAATTGAAATGTGGTTATGATGAATCTGAAATGTATTCTCCCTTCACTACAGAGCAACACAACCACAGCAAAAGACTAACACATTTCCTTCACTGTGTGTGGGAAGGGGCTGCCCAAAAGACACCAGTACAAGCCCATGCTCCTGCAGGTATGGAAAGGGGACTGAGACTGTCAATATTTACCCCTGTGTGGGCCAATCACCACCTCCATTTTACTACCAGAGAACTCAACTAGCCAGCTGATGGATGCACACATGCACCACAGAAGGCACGGAAGGGTGTGCAGGGGCTGTAGGTGGAAACCTGTGAGTTAAGCACACGTACTAAGAGAAACAAAACTCTAAGCAAATGCCCTGCTCAAAGTGAAAGCCTCAAATCAAAAGTAAGGGGCTTTGGACACGTGTGACACAAACGATACTCTGGGTTCACTACTTAGGACTGTGCCAAAGGTCATGCAATGAAAGATTATTTCTGAGAGACCTGCAAGATGCTCTGAAAAGCAATAACCATAGACTCCTTTGTGACTCAAAGGAGCCTCCCTATGCCTTAAACAACTCTCAAATAAATGGCACTCAATCAAATAATCCCATTTTCTTCCAGTGCTGTCCACTGAAAGTGGACATTTTCTCTAACTTGGAAATGTTCTTATTTTTTCTAGATGCAGCTACTCTGATCCTTCCAAATACTCAGTAGCTACAAAAGGCTTTAGTGAAACTTAAATTTTAATACAAAGAACAGGTTATTTCTGTCTGTTGATTTTGTTCCCGTGTGGTACTGGGGAGCAAACCCTACATCTATCACTTTTTGTATTTTTCATTTTGAAATAAGGTCTCACTAAGTTGCTCAGGGCTTAAACTTACGATCCTCCTGGCTCTGCCTCTCTTTAGTGTTGGAATTACATATGTGCACCACAAAACTGGGCATTCTTTTTATTTTTCCCACTTATTTTTTAAAGGTATAAAATCAAACTATGAAACTGAAGAGTGACGGAGCCAAGTCCATCTTTGTGTCAAACCCTTTCTCTTATTTTTCTATCAAGAGAATCCGGGCAGCACAGTACACTAATCAGTTATATACAGACAGATGGGAACTAAACTGTGGTTGCCTGCATGTTCCAGGTCATGGGTATCCTTGGGTTAAACAGGTATCCAGGTGGGCCAGGATTATGGAAGTTTCCTTAGACATCAAAAGAAACAAAGCATTAAATATAGCTGCTTTCCCTCTTCTGCACCAGAAGGCTAGACTGCCACTGAACCTCTGCTTCTTCCCCTCCACTGTGGGCTTAGCAGCTACACACGCGCATAAGTGCACAGACACAGACACAGACACAGACACACACACACACACACACGCTCCAGGAAGCAGCGCCCTCACTTACTGTCCATGGCGTGAAGGTACTCCATGTGAATGGCCCCGGCACTGGTGGCGGCGGATGGAAGGATGTCAGCATAGGGGCTGCGCTGTCCAGCCAGCAGGGCCATCTGGTGATAGTACTCCGCGGGGCTGACTCCAGCGTGGGGAGCTGGGGACAAGACGGGGTATGATGACAACTGGAAGAATGTCAACTAGACACTTTCCTCAAGTTTTCTCGAGTCTACTTCTCTTACGTGTCTCAAACACAGTTTATTTTGTGGCTCATTAAGTAAAGTTCCCTTTTTCCAAACTAGTTTCAATATTAAATATCTTTTAAATATAGCGGTAATACATGTTTGTGATATGTAATAATCACAGTCATCTTGCGGAATTGACATACATGTTTATCTGACCTGGATAACTTTACACCCCTTTCCCTCCATCCTTCCTTTTAAATACCCTTTTGTTTTAGAAAAGTAAATGTGCAGGAATAGAAAAACATAAAATGCATTGCAGCCCTTCTGTTGTTAGTCTGTATGTATCAATGAGCATTGAAAGGAATTAAAATATATATAGTTGAGTGTCCCTAGAGAACGTTCTCGGAATATATTGTGAGATGAGTCTTCCACCTGGAGTCTCACCACAGCAAATACTTAAGCTAAGTTAAGTGGCAACACCGTCGCGATGCCATGCAATCTTAGGGCCTGGCTGCTCCTGCGGCACTAACCTGTCAGGCAGCAGCTGGCGAGGATACACCGCCATGTCTGACCCCCAAGTGAAACGGTGTCTCCCACCAGATACGTTCACATTTCTCAAGTCAGCAGACGATGCAGACAACTGCGAGCTTTCCAGACATACTTAAAATACTTCCCCAAGTTCTTGACAGGAGCGTCTGAGTGAATCCTCACTAACATGAGGAGTCAGGGTTTATTGGAGGGGGGAAAGGCAGCGTGACTTTAATGACATGCACCGAATGATAAGCTGCAATTTCGTGTTCCATAATTTAAAAGCGCTCTTTTCCTTTTTTTTTTTTTTTTTCATTACAAAAAATCTAAAAGAAAATACACCTATCAATCTGGAGCAATTTACTGGCAAGAGTCAGTCTTCTACAAGTGAGATAATCATTGGTTTCTCCTTGCCAATTTGTGTGCAAAAGCAGCAAGATATTGTAGCAGACCTGAGGGTGGCCTCCAGGTTCACGAGATCCGGATTCCAGCTGGCTCCAGGAGGTTTTGAGGAGCACAGAGTCAAGCCGGGCATGTGAAGGAAGGGCTTAGCATGTAGCATTTGATGCTTAACCGTTACTTTTACAATGATTACCTGGGGACCCAGCATTCAGGCAATAGCTTGGTGGATGTTTTATATTTGTGCCCATATATTTTTTATGCATGATACATGGTAAAGACAAAAATAACAAAACTCTTTAGAAAGAAGATGAAAGCATTACAGTAACATTATTTGATAGAGCATTCGCTGCAGCCATAGGACACAGGAAAAAGGAGATAAAACAGCCAAGGAATGTTTTATTCCCACTCACCAAATGCTGTAGAAAGCAGAAGATGCATGTGTTTTCAGGAGACTATGAGGAGGTCTAACTGAAAACTACAGGGAGTGTTTAAAATTTTATTACAATAAAGGATATATTGCTTTTATATTTTGAGTTAATGCCCCTCAAAACACTACCCGTTGCTTTGAACACACTGAGCCCATGGCTCTTGCCCCTTTCTGAAGCAGCTCTGGGAGTCTCTTTTCCTAGTGTCTTTGCTTGCACTGTGCTGGCTGCCTCAGTGTCCAGAGTGGATTCAAAATGTTTATTCTTCATGGTCATTTTGACTTTGAAGAAGAAGCAGAGCTCGCACAGGGCCAGGGCTGGGATGCTGCATAAAGACACTCCATGATGTTTCAAGGAGCCTGCCTTTCCTCGGGTGGCACTTGGCAGCAGGGCTCACCATATTTTCAATCATACTTCATGAACGTACTCGAGAAAGAGAACCTTCAGAACTGCTCTAGAAAGTAGCAAGAACAATAAAAATACCACGATACCTTTTTCAATTTTTATTTGAACATTTGCTGTGCTTTGATCACAGCTCATACGGGCACCACTCCTCCCCAGCTCTACTGCATTTTCACAAGCCAGGCATAATTCCTGGCTTCCCTGACTACCTCTACCTGCTCCCTCTGCTTTCCATTTTCCCCAAAGTCCTACCCCTCTGCAGATGACTCTATTTCTCCTTTAAAGTGATTTTTTTTTTTTTTTTTTTGCAAAACCGGGGATTGAACTCAGGCCACTGCGCTTGCCAGGGAAGCGCTTGTAAAGTGAAATTCTAAGCCATAAAATCAACCCATACTGGACTCTCTCAGAGTTTTCTGTTATGCTTCAAAAGAGCATCTTGCTCAAATAGCAACGCCTATCCCTTGAGGACCTTACAACTTTATTTGCTGCCTTTGACCAGAAGAAAATCAAAAATCCAGAGGAGGGCAATTATCCCTGGAAATGCAATGGAGCAGATGCTTCCCAGGAAGGCTGGTGCAGCTTCACACCATGCACCAGGGAACACCAGAGTGGAGCACAAGAGCGGAGGAGCACAGGGCTCAAAAGGAACACTGCCTAGTGAAATGAAGGACATCATATTTCTCTTTGCTCCACAATCATCAGCAGTGACTTAGATCTTTGCAAGGAACTTGTAATTCGCCGTCTGCAATGAAGAAGAGTTATGCAATTCCAGATCTTAATTCAGGGTCTGGCAATTACGGCAGGTGGGTTTGCACACGCATTCAAGAGATAGGAAATTTCTCTGAAGGAAGAAGGTATCATCAACAGTTCAGGAACTACGCAGCTCCAATTACAAAGAGCCTTGAGAAATGTAATTAATCATTCCATGTAAATAAATGAATTTAATCCTGAAGAGCCGAACGTGAAAATCAAATTTCATACAAATAAATCCTATGTCCTGCCCTGTCCTTTCCTTTCCATACTGGAACTGAACTCAAGATTTCAAGCTTAGGGCAGACCACAGAGCTAAGCAGGTACAGGGACCTGGGTTCGATCCCAGCATGCTGAGCTGGCCCAGCCCCCGGGGCGCACTGAGATGGTGAATGAGAGTGGGCGTGGGGGTGCGTACCTGTAATCCCAGCACTTGGGAGGCTGAAAACAGGAGGATCACTAAGAGTCTGATCTGTGTAGTGAGATCCTGTACTAAATACATTAAAAACAAAAATCTCAAGCATGCCAGGCAGGCACTGTGCCACTGATCTATATCCCTAGCCATTTCTTTTCTGATATTTCTTATTTCAGTCTCTTTTTCTATTTGGCACTGTTCAGGCCATGCAGCATGTCTGGGCCATCATAGTTTTCTGACTTACTACTGAGGGCATAACCCACAGACTGACCAGCCACTGGCATCACCCAATGAGATTTCAGAAGTGCAAAATCTCAGGTGCCACCAACAGCAGAATCATGTTTATCAGAATAATCGCAGGGGAACAGTGCACACATGGCTTTGTGCGTCATTACTCTCACAGACAACACGGTACACATGAGTCTTATCAGCATACAAAACAAAAGCATCACCAGGAGGTGATGACAGCATGCCAGTTACGCACACCCATGCAGGAGCAGCTGCAGAGCCAGTAGTCACATGTGAAGTAGCAAAAAAGGACAATGGGAAAGAACACAGAAGTCAGGAAGATCTCAATTTGTGCTTCATCTCTGCCACTTTCTAGGGAAGCGGTGACTAGGCAACAAGTCTGTGAGAGATCCCTGTACTACTCTCCTGCTCTTTCTACTTGGAAATGGAAGTAGTAACCCCGCCCACATACAAGCCTTGCAGTGCTAGAATAGTCATACTCTTAAGTCTGTTGGTTTGGTGCCCGGCATTCAGAACCACTAACCACCAGATCTACTTCATATGAACTAGAATTTAAAACTCTTTCATATGTATATAAATAAAAAAATTACAATAAAAGACAATCTGCCATGAATCCCCCGCAAAATCCTCCCCATTTCTTTGAACACTTATTCCATCAGCCTTGCTTCTTTCTGAAACAGTTCTGGAAGTCTTCTTTCCTAAGTATCTTCGGTTCAACTGCTATGGCAGTCCTGATGCTCTGTATCAATTCAAAATATTTACTTCCATCCTCCTGTTGACTTTGGACAATAGCCAGAAGTTGCATAGCACAAGATCCAGTGAATATCATGGATGAGAGAACAATGGACTATTTTCATTTGGCAGAAACTGCTGTAAACTATGTGAATCATTTCAGGACACTGAAAGAGTCAGGAACAGAAACTCAAGAAAGAGGACTTTCAGAACTGCTTCAGAAAGTGGCAAGAGCAATGGATTAAGTGTGTTCCAAGAAAGGGGAGTATGTTTAGGGGAATGAATGGTAGCATTTGTTTACTGTAATACATTTTTAAAATGTGACCATTTACCATATCATTTTCTGATCACTTCGCGCACCGGGTACCAGGGTCTGTGAAGGAAGGGAGCGACGTGACCTGCGGAAGCAGACCAGGCCTGGCACTCACCGTCGGTAGGGCTGATTCCACGGGCTGCTGAGATCATGGAAAGGGATGGGCTGCTGTGCAGGGAGCGGATGTAGTCCATGTAAGGGTTGATGTAGGGATGTGGAGGGCTGAAAGGAGACTCAGACGCTGCGGCAGGGTTCCGGTGGGGGGAGATTCTAATGAAGGGCAGGTCCGAATATGTTGGGCTACTAGATAAGGCAGAAGGCCTAGGAACAGACAAACACAAAAACAAGAGGACTGTATGAACCAAACATCTCCATAGGCAGAGCTTGTCTCTGACAACAAACATATGTGATTTTAAGTGAACTTCAGGCATCTTTTGAAAAAGTGTCCGGCTTGTACTTTTGCAATATTATTAAATTAAAACCGTGATGATGTAATGCAGGTAGAACACCACTGTTTGCTTGAGCAAAGGTAAGTGACCTTCAACACAGCTCATGGCCTTACAGATACAGGTGAGCCACTGACTTTCTCAATGGGAAGAGTCTAGATAATAGGAACTTAAGCTTTAAGTGGCTACTAGAGTTAGATTTCCCATTTGACTCAAACATTAATGACACCATTTAAAACTTACCTTATATCAGCTTATTATCATGGTATTGCAAATGAAATAAAAGCATCCCCAAGTTTGTCTGGTCTGAACATCCAGGCCTGCCTATGGCAGAGCTGTCCATGAATATGTGAGAAGCCAAACTGCAAGTCTGTAACAAATGTGAGATCAGTCTCTCTGTATAACTGCATGCATGGGTCTTACAGTGGTGAGTGAAAACAACTTAGGTCTAGGTTGGCCTAATATGAAGGTCACTTCTCTTCTCCGCAAGCAAAGATTATGATCAGCTTCCTGCTTAGGCCTGTTTCCATGCGGTACACTGATTAGCCATGCTCAGTAAGCAACAAGAAACTAAGTAGTCCTGTGTGGGGTTTGAGTGCCAGCTGGATCAAGCTCATGTCTTGCCTAGGATGAGGGAAGGTAGCATTTAAGCTTTGGGTGAATGCAAGTAAACTTCAAAGCACACTTTGCTGTCATCATGGCCTAGAGACATTGCCCCCGTTCTCTTGTGTATATACATGCCCTGGCCACTGTGAAGTCCCAAGGCCAGTCCTATGTAGAGCGGCTGGTCTGCAGAGCCCCGTACCGCCTTCCTCCTCCTGGCACAGAAGGTGTCTGAGGTGGATAATCCAGTGAACTGGCTGTGACAAGCTAAGCACTCTCGCTGGCTGCTCCGTCTTTTGTGCAGGGCATGGCTATACAAAGGAGAGGCCTTGTTAGAGACAGATCAACTGAGAGAGGAGCATCCCTCTCCTGCCCCATTTTCAGGAGTAAAAGGAAAGGGCGGGCAAATGCATTTTCTCCTCGTGGTCCATCACCCTGTCAGAATAGAATCTTGGTAGAAAAGGCTCTGCGAAGTGCATGCACTGCACAGGCGCCAGAATAAATGAAGCCAAAGATCAGATAGCACGTTTTCTCTCAGTAGGAAATAAAAAGAAAAAAAAAAAAAAAAAAGCTGAAACATAGTGAAGGAAGGGATAGGGAAGAAGGTTTTTTGTTTTTCTTTCTCCACTTTTTGTTTTTGTTTACAGGACTGGACTTTCAACCCTTGACCTACTCACTAAGCTAAATT